ACGATCCGGAGACAGAAAAAAGGGGGGGGGGGGGGGGGGAGGGGGGTGTCTGTGAGGACGAGGACTCTGGTGACGGTGACGATGACGACGGTGAAGGACGAGGGCTCTTCGGTGACCATGATGAAGGACCGGGACTCTGGTGACGATAATGAAGGACTCTAGTGACCGTGATGAAGGACGGGGACTTTCCGGTGCCGGTGACGCCAGCGAAGACCGAGGGCTCTCTGAAGATGATGACGACGACGACGAAGGCCAAGGGCTCTCCAGTGACAACGGTGAAGGCCGAGGGCTCCGAGGACAACCATGACGAAGGCCAAGAGCTTTCCGGTGACGACGGCGTAGGGCCAAGAGCTTTTCAGTGACAATGACAAAGGCCAAGGGCTTTCTGGTGACAACGGTGAAGGACAACAGCTCTCCCGAGGATGACGACGAAGGGCGAGAGCTGTCCAAGGACCGCGGTGAAGGACAAGGGCTCTCTGAAGACGGTGACGAAGGCCGAGGGCTCTCCGAGGACGCTGGCGACGGCCAAGTGCTTTCCGGTGACGACAGTGAAGACCGAGGACGCTGACGGAAGGCCGAGGACGCTGACGAAGACCAAGGGCTCTCAGAGGACACCGATGAAGGCTGAGGACGACGATGAAGGACAAGGACTCTCCCAAGGACGACGACACTGAAGGCCGAGGGCTCTCCAAGGACAACGGTGAAGGACGAGGGCTCTCCGAAGACGACGACGGCAGTGAAGGACGAGGGCTCTCCTAGGACGATGACGAGGGCCGTCCCTCAGGCCTCCTCTTCGGCCTCTTCACCGAAGTCCTCCTCCTCCTCAGCGGTGGCATCCTGGTACTGCTGGTACTCCGAGACGAGGTCGTTCATGTTGCTCTCGGCCTCGGTGAACTCCATCTCGTCCATGCCCTCGCCCGTGTACCAGTGGAGGAAGGCCTTGCGTCGGAACATGGCCGTGAACTGCTCCGAGATACGCTTGAAGAGCTCCTGGATGGCCGTGCTGTTGCCGATGAAGGTGGATCCACTCACGAAGTAAGAGCTGTTCTTGTTCTGCACGTTGAGCATCTGCTCGTCCACCTCCTTCATGGACATGCGACCTCGGAAGACGGCGGCCACCGTGAGGTAACGGCCGTGACGGGGATCGCAGGCGGCCATCATGTTTTTGGCGTCGAAGACCTGCTGGGTGAGCTCGGGGACGGTGAGGGCGCGGTACTGCTGGCTGCCGCGGGACGTCAAGGGGGCGAAGCCGGGCATGAAGAAGTGGAGGCGCGGGAAGGGCACCATGTTGACGGCCAACTTGCGGAGATCGGCGTTGAGTTGGCCGGGGAAACGCAGGCAGGTGGTGACGCCGCTCATGGTGGCCGAGACGAGGTGGTTGAGGTCACCGTAGGTGGGGGTGGTCAGCTTCAGGGTGCGGAAGCAGATGTCGTAGAGGGCTTCGTTGTCGATGCAGTAGGTCTCGTCCGTGTTCTCCACCAGCTGGTGGACAGACAGGGTGGCGTTGTAGGGTTCCACCACCGTGTCCGACACCTTGGGGGACGGGACGACGCTGAAGGTGTTCATGATGCGGTCGGGATATTCCTCACGGATCTTGGAGATCAGGAGGGTCCCCATGCCGGAGCCGGTGCCACCGCCAAGCGAGTGGGTCAGCTGGAAGCCCTGCAGGCAGTCGCAGCTCTCCGCCTCCTTCCTCACCACGTCCAGGACCGAGTCCACCAGTTCGGCCCCCTCCGTGTAGTGGCCTTTGGCCCAGTTGTTGCCTGCGCCGCTCTGGCCTGGGGTGGGGACACGGCGGGGACGTCACGGAGGGGCTCCCTGGGGGAAACTGAGGTCTTTGGGGACTTTGGTTGCTCGGTTTGAGGGCCTTCAGGCCAACTTTCAGTACCTTGGGGATCTCTACACCAGCTTTGGGGATCTTCAACCTCCTTGGGGACCTCGATCCCGCCCCTGTGGACCTCCATCAACCTCCTTGGGCATGTCCATCCAACCCCTGGGGACCCTGAGCTCCTTGGGGGGGGCCTCCGTTACCCTCCATGGTGACTTCCAGCCCGCCCTTGGGGACCTTATGCTCCTTGGAGACCTCCCATCACCCTCCTCGGGGACCCCCAAGCCCACGTGTGGGGACTTTATACTCCTTGGGGACATCAATCACTGCCTCTGAAGACACCCAACAAACCCTTGGGGACACTAAGGGCCTCGGGGACCTTCACTGCTCTTCAAGCCTATCTTCAGCTCACCCTTGAGGACTTCCAGCACATCCTTGGGGACCTCGAGCTCTTTGGGGAACTCCATCCCACCCTCAAGAACCTCAAGCACCTCCATCACCCTTCCTGGGTATCTCCACCTGACCCTCGGGGACCCCGAGAACCCTGGGGACCTTCGAGATCCCCAGACTACTCTTGAAGACCTTGGGGACTTCCATCACTCTCCTTCTCCATCTCCATGCCACCCTTGGGGCGCCCTGAGCACCTCGGGGACCTTGTCCAACCCCTGTCCACACTTGAGCTCCTTGGGGACCCCCACCCTTCTTCTTGAGGACCTCCATTACCTTCCTTGGGGACCCCAGGCACCTCGGGGACCTTTCGTTACCCTTCTCGGGGACCTCCGTCCCACCCTTGGGCAGCTGAAGCTCCCCGTGGACCTTCACCATGCGCCCCATGGGCACCCCGAGCTCCTCAGAGACGCCCGTCTCCTAGGGACCCTCACCCCCCTGATCTGGGGACCCCCGACCCCTTTGGGGACCCCAGTTACCCTCCCAGAACCGAAGCCGGGGCAGCTCTGGGGACACAGGAGAAGACCCTGGCCACCAAGAAGGGGACAACAGGGACCTGCCACCCCACTGCGACAAGCGCCCGAGGGCCAGAGACGCCCGTCTCCTAGGGGACCCTCACCCCCCTGATCTGGGGACCCCCGACCCCTTTGGGGACCCCAGTAACCCTCCCAGAACCGAAGCCGGGGCAGCTCTGGGGACACAGGAGAAGACCCTGGCCACCAAGAAGGGGACAACAGGGACCTGCCACCCCACTGCGACAAGCGCCCGAGGGCCACCGAGGAGGGATGTGTCACTCCACTGGGAAGGGAACCCAGGGGCCACCACCGGGATCTCACGGG